TTTCGGTAGAAAATCACGTCCGCTTCCAATTTTATACTCGAAGGAAGGATATTATTCGGTTTTCAAAAACTTTTCCAATTTCTGATTAATTTTGAACCTGCTCTACCGTCACACTTGCACCCAGGGTTTCCAAACTACAAGCCATGTATTTTCCACGTACGGAAAACCACACATTTCTCTACGGTAATAAAGGGGGACCATACAGGGTTCATAAAATTAAGCAGTGAATTTGATCCATATTGTTAACTTAACAAGCCACATTGGTAAATGTAGAGACATGACGTTTTATGAACGGCCATTTGAAGGTATTAAAAAGTCTCACAATTAGAAGCTTTTTAAAAAAACCAATTATGTCCCTCCTTCGAGCATAAAATTAGAAGAAGACGTAATTTTCTACCAAATGAGCAAAAGAATGAATATGTTTCTTCATGTTCTCCATGAAATACAATTTGACTTTTAGGGACGTCGAAAATCAGTGAGAAGATTTCATGCTACTTAAGTAGTCATTGTTTACAGAGTGTAGCTTTTGTATGCAACCGGAAGGAAGTTCATTTGAAAGCCGGCATCCTGAGGTAGCGGAAATATTATAGAATAATGTTGTAGGCGGACTAGTATATGCATGTATGCATATACAACCCTAACCTCCCACCATGACCCCTAGCCACAACCCAAACGGTATTGTGTCGATCAGGTGGGGCTACATAACCACCTCTTACCATGCGCCCAAGTTCGAGTGCGGAACCTCAGATGATTGAATCATTATCTCAAGAGACCTAACTTTTGCCCATGTCAACACCTGGAGTCAGCATTTTCGCCTATGTATATGCATTGGAAGGTAGGCATTCCAAGAAATATAAGTCAAATGGGCCCTCTTGGAAAGGGACCGCTCACGGGCACAAGCGCCAAACAATTATCGACTTTCAAATGCACTCCAGATGTTAACTGTTGTTGACACATTTGCTCTCCGTCTGCGTTTGACGACGAGCGTGGGAATCGGCGTTGAAAGTTCCTTTTCCCAATGGTAGGGGGCGCTCACCGATCGTTCATACGGAACTCACCCGTTCCGTTGTGCCTTATGGGCTCTCTTTCGAGCCCAACCAGCAGCCGCACAGCGGCGCATGATACATAGGCAGAATGGTATTACTATTGTATATTCCCGATCGAAAACCGACAGGGCAACGGGCTCGTGGCCCCGTGGGTAGAGGCGTGGACTTCTAAACCAACAGGTCGCGAGTTCGAGGCTCGGGTGTTCCACACTTCGGGCTTGGGTATGGCTGGCTGACGACGGCTAGTAAGCCAGAAATGGCCATTCCAATCCCCCTTGTCTTTGTCAGTAATACCATCCTGCCTATATATCATGCACCGCTGTGCGGCTGCTGGTTGGGCTCGAGAGAGAGCCCATAAGGCACAACGGAACGAGTGAGTTCCGTATGAACGATCGGTGAGCGTCCCCTACCATTTGTCGGTACCACCTTATTTACATCATTCTACTAGTCGCTGTGCGACTGCCTGCGAGGGTTCTAGTATGAGCCCCAAGGCACAACGGAACGAGCATGTTCCGTAACCTGATCGGTGAGCTCCCACTATCATAAGTAATATTCCCGATCACAACCGACAGGACAACGGGCCCGTGGCTCAATTAGAGCGTCAAACTCCATGACCAAAGATCCCGGGCTCGAATCTCAAGTGATCCACACTTGGGGTTGGGTATGACTGGCTGATGACGGCTAATAAGCCAGAAATGGCCATTCCGGTCTCCCTTGTCTTTGTCGGTACCACCTGATTTACATGATTCTACTAGTCGCTGTGCGACTGCCTGCGAGGGTTCTAGTATGAGCCCCAAGGCACAACGGAACGAGCACGTTCCGTAACCTGATCGGTGAGCGCCCACTATCATAAACCAAAAGGTCGCGAGTTCTAGGCTCGGGTGTTGCACACTTCGGGCTTGGGTATGGCTGGCTGACGACGGCTAATAAGCCAGAAATGGCCATTCCAGTCTCCCTTGTCTTTGTCGGTAATATCATTCTGTCTATATATATATATATATATATATATATATATATATATATATTGCTAATAGAGGCAAAGATGCGCGTTCCCGGACATAAGTGAGAAGAAACGGCTGTGCCATGCAGCGGCAGAATATCGGTGAGACACTTGTCTGGGTGTTTAGTTAGTACCCATGTGGGGAGTACGGTTTAATCCTTTTGTCATATATATATATATATATAGGCAGGATGATATTACTGACAAAGACAAGGGAGACTGGAATAGCCATTTCTGGCTTATTAGCCGTTGTCAGCCAGTCATACCCAGCCCCGAAGTGTGGAACACCCGAGGCTCGAACTCGCGATCTGCTAGTTAGAAGTCCACGCCTCTAACCGCTAGGCCACGGGCTCGTTGTCCTGTCGGTTGCGATCAGGAATATACAGTGGTAGAGGGGCGCTCACCGATTGTTCCTATGAGACCCACTCGTCCCGTTGTGCCTTACGGGCTCTCTCTCGAGCCCAACCACCAGCCAGAAATGGTGCGCGTCTAACCTAGGACTACGCTTGTCCTTAAAGTTGGGGTTAGGCTTGCGGTGAGGTTGACTAGGGAGCCCTTTTGAGGATCATAAGTGCGTCTAACCCGACTATCTGCGCCAAATTACTCAGTATGCGTTCTGCTGCACACGACTTAGTCCTGGATCCGATCTCCCGCCCGTAGGACGGGATCCTCAGCTTTTGGACTCTTCGTTATCTGATGCGCTTGCTAACCCTGGCCTACTGTCCCCCCCTCTCGTCTCTGTGCTGAGCAATTCTTTTGGTTCTGCAGATTTGTCCTCTCTGCAATGAAGTCATGTCTCAGCGCAGACGTTGGGTGCTGGAGGTTCACCTGCGTGAGAAGCATCCGGGCATCTCGGCTGAGTCCGTTCTGGGTCCGTCTCCGCTCACTCACAGACATATCAGACGCTCTGCTCCGCAGAACAGAGGCAACAGGGCAAAAACTGTCGGCACTGTCCGCAAAACAGGCTCGAAGCCCAGGACCGACCCCCGCTCAAACCCTCCTGAGAGCCCGGCAGAGGAGGTCGTGGTGACGAAACGAGAAATGGACCACTCAGAGGACAAAGATGCCAGTCTGGAGGAGTCCGGTGATGACCTTGTTGTGCAGCTTAAGTTCCTACCTCTCACAGACCATTTGTTGCGGACGAAGAGGGAGGAGGAGGAGGAGCAAGTCTACGGTGACACCGATCTGGAGGACTCCGAGGGCTCGATCATTCAGCATCTGCGTGGAAGTAGCCAGACGCGGTCGCCTTCCCCATCGGGGGACCCCCATACAAACTCCCACACTGACCCGCTTCACACGCAGCCCTGACAGACTTGGCTGAGATCTAGTCCAGGGGGGCAGCAGTCTCGCTGGAATTCTGTTATCCTGCATTCCATGTGGTTTCATAGTGGCAAATGTCGTCTGGTACAGAGCGACATCATTCCCCCCCCCCCCCCCCC